TGTGTCCACAAGCACCTCCTCCATCTCTCTGAACTGGACCCCACCTCGGGGTGAGGTGTTCAAGTACAGGTTGGAGTGGCATAATGGTGGAGCGCTCATGACCGTTGCCACCAACAATACCTTTGCCGTGCTCTCAGACCTAATCCCTGGCACTAACTACACAATCTCAGTCATTGCCGTCGCCGGAGACAATAAGACAGAAGGACACCCTCACACGCTCACCTCAGCCACAAGTAAGCCACGCTAACCCTATTTAACATTACCAAATTAAACATGCACATTTGTGATAAAAGTTGCTCAAGAGGTTTCCTATTTACACATTCCCATTGGTAAATGTAATGTAAGAACATGCTGGAAAGCTGTAAACAACCCGTTGTATTGTATGTATTCCCCTCATCTTGTGTTTTCTTTTTGTTGCAAAATTCAAAGCAGATAATTGATAAATGTTTATTTCTATAAGAAATTTTGTAAGACACATCATGAATGGATATTGTACTTTTTTTTTTCACAATGCAAAGACAAGTAACCAAACCCACCATTTACTTCTTTATTGTACAGGGCCTGAAAAGCCTCAGGACATTATGGTTACAGCACGAGGAACCAATTACCTGAACATCAGCTGGACTTTGCCTTTTGGGAGAGTTGATCACTACGTGGTGACCATCTCAGATGAAAGGCAGAATTATTTGGATAGCATCACAACAGCAGTCACCACAGCCTCCTTTACTGATTTACATCCTGGGATATTAGTTTTCATCAATGTGACCGCTGTAGCTGGGGACTTCAATAATATGTCTAATCTGTCTTCATTTGCCACTGGTAAGTTTAATACCCTTATTGTTATTGATGAATGATTGTGTTTTCACATCCGGTGCAGCTCGATGTAAGAGTTGTACTTCTACTAATATTTGCAATATGATGTAGTTTTTTTTAAATGGTTTAAACCATTAAAACCAATCAGACATGAAAAACAACAGAAACACAAGTAGTAAGTGCATGTCCGCCTGTTATTCCTTTTAGAGCCCACACCTCCTGGTTTCATCATCATCAGTCAGGGAACATACTCGCTTCATCTGAAGTGGGCGACTCCTGCTCTGATGGAAGGTGCTCCATACATCAGCTACCATATCACCTACCAGCCAGAGGGTGGCGAAGTGCAAACTACAAGCGCCTTGGTCAATACCACAGAGCTATCCGCTCTTTCGTCTGGAACTTCCTACAATATAACTGTAAAAACAGTTGGACCCCAGAATTTGAAGAGCACGGCCGTCCATAATTCTGCTTTCACCCGTAAGCACAATGGGGAGAAACTAAAGGATGTAACAGTGACAGGAGTGACACAATTCATGTTGTAGTTTTTCCAATATTTGCACAACAACCCTTTGTTTTACCGAGCCAGCGCCTGAGAATATTACCGTATAACATGTATTATAAATATATCAAATTACTCATTTAATTAATTTTTATTAACATTACCCTTGTTTGTCATTTTTCTAGTGCCCAACCCTGTGCTGAACCTTACTGCTAGCCCTAAGTCCACCACCTCAATAAAAGTGATATGGTCAGCCCCCCTGGATGCCAAGTTGTATTACAAATACCTGGTTCAAACCTATAATACTACAGGAGAACTGTTTAACACAACAGTCAGCAATAACAGCACTGATGTAACCGAGCTGGAGCCAGGAACTCGATACAATATCAATGTCATGACGATGGCAGCAGAGGGAAGTGTATCCACGGTGGAACAGACATTCAGTTACACAAGTAAGGCCTTACATTTAAACATGAATTTATGGATGAAGCATAAATGGATTCTGTACTATCAGAGACATCATATATACTCAAAACAATTAAGCATACCACAAACATGTACAATACCCTTTTTCTATTCTGGTCTTTGGTCTTGCATAACCCTCTGTTGTATTTGCTACAGTGCCCAAAGCAGTGACCAACCTTACAATGGAGGACGTGAACACAACGTTCATCCGGCTGTCGTGGCGCAGACAAAGTGATCATAAGCCTTCCTACTCCTACCTGGTGAAAGCTCTCCAGGACGCCATGGTGGTTCAGAATGAATCAACTGAGACTGAGACTTACACCTTCTACAATCTGACCCCTGGAAAATTGTACACTTTTGATGTATTTACCGTCATAGAAGGGGTCAAGTCCACAGTGGAAAGCACTCAAAGTCACGCAAGTACGTCTTCAAAGCTTCTGAAATGTGTTTTTTTTAATATAAACATAAACGTTGTCGCAGGTTAGAGAGATGAACGTGCTTAATTGCAATCAGTCAAAAAGAAATACCAAAACACAATCATGTATTGACTGGGTCAATATCCCATTGACCAATGCTGGCAGCTTGTTTCCATATATTAGGTGAATGTGCAATAATTGGTCCAATGTTAGTCAAGTAAAAGTGTTTTAAAGGAACAGATAACAGAATATATTTAGTGTTGTATGGTGGTACTACTCTTTTCTCCAAGTTTAGCCATGGTACAGTCCCCTCTTTCAAACAGTGCTTTGTGTGAAGAATCAATAGAGTGCCCATTACAGTTATGCCACAAATAATAAAAGCGGAAAATACAGGTTTGAAAATATAAATCAGGATTTCTCTGTGCCATCACATTAACAACCAGAAGTAATTCTTTCAAGTGTAATTTTGTTCAGTATACACTCAAATGTGTATTGCAATACAACTAACAATTATTCTCTTAACCCTGTGTTTTTTGTCAAGTTAATTGTTCAGGCAGACCTAAACTAAGGATTTTCTAAATGTACATTACATACAATTTAAATCGTTTTTTACAGAGCCTGAAGCAGTTTCTGACATCATGGCCATAGGAAGCACAACTACCATGTCAGTGAGCTGGACACCAGCAGTTGGACAGGTGGACTCCTACACTGCACTGCTCTACAGAGACAGCCACTTGGAAAACAGCACAGACCTGAGCAACGCTACTGTGAAGAAACAGTTTCCGGACCTGACACCAGGAGTGTTTTACTGTGTGGCAGTGGTCACCAAAAGTGGACCTTTAGAGAGCAGAAAGTCAAGTGTTTGCAACGCAACTTGTGAGTTACATCAACATCATGACCTATAAACCTGCATATTACACATACAATATACTGTGTATTCTCTTTAGAAATGCCTGTAGCGTTTTAAAACAGCATTCCTTCTCCTGTTCAGTTCCCAATCCTCCCGGCCCCATCATGGTGGAGTCTCAGACTGTGAAGTCCATTAACTTCACCTGGTCCTCTCCAGAGGGCATGGACCATGATCAGTACAACTTCAGTGTGTCCAGCTTTAACGGTTCCTTTCTGATCCGAAACTACTGGTTCCTGCTGAATAACCTCCAGTCTGGAAGCTCCAGCAATATCTTTGTTGTTACTGTAGGCGTGTTGAACTATGAGAGCACTGCAGTGACTGCAGAAAACTATACCCGTGAGTTTGATTAACATGTCACACCAGGGTTATTACTTTTATTATTTATTTATTTTTCTCAAGTTTGTCTTAGTGTTTGTTTGTACTTTATTTAGTCATCTTTTTACAAATTTTATGTTTGAGTTTTGTTGTTTATCATTATTGTTATATTATTATTTTTGTGATATGGTGACCGTGACAGGTTCCACAAAGATATTTTGTATATGTTTGCAAGCAGTAAGTAGTATTTGCCAACAAATATTAATGCTTTGTAAAAGAAATACTATATTAACAGTTTCTTAATCTGTTTTAAGTAAAAATGCTGAATCAAAAAGGTTAACACAATACTTTAATTTTACTTTTACATTTTTGAACTCCTGTAATCTTATTTTTTATTTATGATAGTAACCTTTGTACACAAACAATCTGACAGATTCTGACATTAATAGTGATTATTTAACTGCTTTATGAGCCAGATGGGTTTTATCAAATCAAGAAAATTGACGTATTGAGCACATAATAACTTATTATTGACTTCCAGACGCTTATTTTTTTTAATGCTTATAGGGTTAACCCCTCATGCCACATTTATACTATTTTGCCCAAATCTGACACGTGAAACACATACGTGTTCTGCATATTTAATGTTTCCCTCTTTCTAATTTTCTCAGGACCGTATCCTGTAACCATGCTGAGACAGACAGAAATCACCACAAATGCAGTGACCTTGGAGTGGGAACAGCCCGAGAACACATCTCACTACTCATATCTTTTGGAGACCACAAATGGCTCCTTTAGTAAATCTGAAGTTGTCTTGAATAAACACAATGCAACAATCACTGGACTTCTCTCTGGGAGCAACTACAGCTTCACTGTCACCACACAGACAGCAGATGGCACTCAGGCAGCTCCTGTGACAGTGTCCTATTTTACACGTACGTATATCCTACCCAAGATGCTGTCTCTACAATGGAAAAATTACCTAAAATATCCCCAAACTAAATGAGCACCTAAAGTCAATAACAATTAAACGCAACACATTGAATTTGTAATATTACTTTAGGTTTTAGCTGTATCTGTAGTACTGAGGAGTGCTGCATGTTTGATAGATTGCTTGATGTTGATCCAAACTCTTTCTGCTCTGTTTGTAGGTCCATACAGTATCGGAGGGTTGGAACCTGAAACCTTAAACACAACTGCTGTACGTCTGGTTTGGATGAAACCACTGGAGTACAAGAGTGAATACACATATCGGGTAAAGACAACAGGCTGCGGCTCCCAAAACACAACCCTTGCAGGAGAAGTCGCAGAGATTTCCGCGCTCACCCCTGGGACCGACTGCACCTTCTGCGTTTTTGTCAGGGCAGCGGATGACATCGAGGGGCAAGCAAGGTGCACCTCGCAGTACACTGGTAAGCCTATTACCTGTCATTTCTGTTTGTTTCAAATTGTCAAGGTGGTTGATCAGCTTTAATCCTTCCTCCTCTGCACATTAACAGAGCCTGAGGCAGTGCAACCAAGCATCTCCAGCTGGGGCTCCAATAGTTCAATCCTGGTGTCATGGGCCAAACCTCTTGGGAAAGTGAAGCATTATAAGGTTTATCTTAACAGCACGTCCACGGCTTCAGAGGGGGTCATGCTGGATTCTACCAATACCTCCTTTCTGTTTCACAACTTGTCCGCTGGAAGGGTTTACACTGCTGTGGTAACCAGATTCAGTGGACCCTTCAATGCGTCATCTGACTTCATTACTAATGCAACCTGTAAGTATGATACATTTGTTAGATTTACAGTAATTCACATCTAATGTATCAAACAACAACTAATTGCATATACTTAACAACATTTTTGAAGTTTTCCATAGCATACTGTAAAGTTGTTTTGGGTTATTTTTGGATTGCCTATTCTTCAGTCATCCATTGTTTTTTATTAAATTAACTTAACTTAACTTTGAAGCTTGTGTGACATTTGGAATCCACACCAGTGAGATATTGTCCGCTTTCATTTTTTTCTAATCACTGTGTCATCACGTGGCACTCTGCAGCTGATACTCAAAGTTTGATGGTGCTTTCAAGGACCTGATGCACAATGACATGATAACCGTCGCTTCTCTGGCTTCACACAGGTTACACAGGACAATAATACAAGAAGAAAATTAAAATTAAATTAAATTTGCTCCGCTGTTATTGGCAGAAGAAATCTTATGACTGTAAGTCAATATATTGTAATAATGTGACTGTTTCACAAATGACTACGGTTGCTCATCAGCAACCATCAGCCAACTGTTTGTCAGAGTTTCAATAATTGCACGTGGATGAAAACAAAGCTTCTCCCAAAAGTTAACGGAATATTTACTGTGATGGTTTCCATGGTTAAGGGGAAATGAGGAAAACTGAACTGTTATGGTGTGCTTTGGAAAATGACCTGCAGTACTGGAAAATCTTTTGTATACGTAATAGAAAACCTTTATTTTGGTTACTCTGGTGTTGAAGTGTAATTGCTCCCCTCCAGTCCCTAACCCTCCCGGGCCGATTGACGTCCTGACGCAGACGACCAGCTACATTGACATCAGGTGGAAGGAAGCACCTCTGATGACGGATGCAATGTTCCACTACCATTTGACCAAGTCATCACCCCAGGGAGAAGAACACAACACTACCACCTACACCAATCATACTTTCACCTCCCTGCTTTCTGGGACTTCCTACAACTTCTCCGTAGCAACAGTGGGTGCGATGGGTTTTAAGAGTGAGAAGGTTCAGATCAACATGGTCACTACAAGTAAGGGTTTTATTTATGTAACCGACATGCAAGTACTGTCATGTTTCACCTTTACTGTCTACTAACATTTACATCTCTCAAATTTCTTTTAAACAATCAGGACCGTTGAGTGTTAAGTCTCTTACGGCTTCTACAGAAGAGGAGAGCATCACTGTCATGTGGGCTGTACCTGATGAATACAAGGACAGCTATCGTTACAATGTGACCTGGCAAAGCTCAGATGGGACCATTAGGGATAGAATAGTAGAAAAAAATACGTATAATATTGTGAACCTGGTTCCTGGCAAACAATATCGCATAACTGTCACCACAGAGACCTCTGATGGAACCAAAGGTGCTGCAAGATGGATTTCCAACTGCACAAGTATGGTCAAAACAGCTTCATTATTTCATATAGACTTGTTGCAATCAGATATTTTCAAATGATATTGTCCTATAACTGAGCACACAGGAAAATTGGGGAACAATGCTGTCGTTTCCCTGTTGTGATTTTCCTGAAAAGCATTTTTGTTTGATGCTGCAGATGCAAGCCCGGTGAAAGACTTGGAATGTAAAAGTCTGAACACAACAAACGCGCAAGTCATCCTGTCCTGGAATAAACCCATTGGCCAACACTCTGACTTTAAGGTCACTGTAAACGATGGCGAGATCATCAACTCGACAAGCACCTGCTGTCGTCATACTGTGTCCAACCTTCGTCACAAAACTAAATACAATCTGGCAGTGGAGACTCAGAGCTGTGGACCACCCAGCACCCCTGTGTCTCTTGACTGCTGGACAGGCATCACAAGTAGGATATTATGTTTCATGATTGACAAAACTTTTCCATGTAAATAATATGTATTTGAGTAAAACTTTGTCAAAACCAAATCTTTTATTTTTCCTTTTTCCCCCTAAAGATCCACCCATTCCAGTGAACTATAAGTTATTTGTGTTGGTGAGCTCCAGTACATACAACAAGTTCACCCTTCAGATCAAAAGCGGCCTGCTGAACAGCATCAATGGGCCAATCACACATATTGGGGTGCTGGTGACAAATGCTCTCCCTGGTTGGTTTCTTTTTAATGTCAGGGAGTGTTGTAATTATATCATAAACCATTAGTGCTGAAGTGACGATGAGCTGTTCATTTGTTTCATATGATAAAGACGTTAGAACTCATAACAAGAACCTTTCTGTCAAAAGCCAATTGCAGTAATGCCTGTCCTTCCAGGTAACACTTCTGATTTCACAAAGTACGTGGGGAAAACGTATAAACAGTGGCAGGAAAAGGATACTCCAGTATACATGGCAACAGTTGTAGAGAACATCTTCCATTCACACAGTGGAGTGAGCCAACGGGACATAGAAATAGGAGACGAATCCAAATGGAACGGCTACACTAATGGTGCTTTGATGGCCAATGGAATATACCAGTAAGAACACAAACAATATTGTGAATGAATCTGTGTGCAGAAGCAAATAGCATGATTTAGTAACTTCTCGATGATATAATTTTAATTAAGATAGTCAGAGAGTAGGAACAAATAAAATAAAAAAAGCAAGTCAAAGTGTGATATGTGTGTAAATCTCTTAACTGATATGTTTAATCCTGCAGATATGCTATCGTGCTGTACACCAGTCTGACTCTTCAAAACGGCTTAGTGAATGGTGAAGTGTCACTGTTGAGTATAACAAACTTCTGTACTGCTTTTGCACTCCCACAGGACCCAGGTACCACATCATTCAGACCCTAAGGTGTTGCTATTAAATGCTCCCATAATGAGAGGAAAGGATAACTGGCCTCTTTCTTTGTCTTCCTGTCTTAATCTTTGTCAACATTTTAGCTGTCATTGGCATTGCTGTCGGAGCAACATTGGGAATTTTTTGCATTCTCTTCATCATCCTCATTGGCTTCATTATCTACTGGAAAAGGTTCGTCATCGTCATCAGTGATAGAAAAAGACTTAGTTTCATAGTGTACACGACTCAACTCTAAACTCTTTGTTCGTGTACTTTAGGGTATCCAACAAAGAATCGTCAGACATCCAGATTCATTCCATGAGGTGAGGTTTTTTAACATGTTATCATAAGTTTAAAGTAAATGGACAACAATTGTTTCCATAAAAGTTGGTCAACATTGTTTTTTTTCTCTTTCTTTCTCCAGAGCCAAAGTGTAAGTATAATCATGAAGTATGATCCGATCTGTCAAGTGTTACACATTTTGACAAAAAGCACAACTCGTGACTCTGTTCTGACCTCTGGTGTGCATTTGAGCAGAAGTGTGGCTGTGAGGGTGGAGGAGTACGAGGCTTACTACAAGAAGCAGAAAGCAGACTCAAACTGTGGCTTTGCTGAAGAGTTTGAGGTAAAACATCACCTTAATATTCAAGGGGTCCTGGTATATAATTTGGCCTTTTTATAGTAGGCAGTTATATTTGATCGTCATTAGGAGCTAAGTCAAAATAATGTCCAATATAATAAGATATAGATTTAATCATCTAATTAATAATTTGTCTGTGTCAATGTGATTTTTCAAATTTTTGTGATTGTGCATCCTTACTAATATTAAGTTGCTCTTTTTTTTTGGTACTTCATATGCACCAGATTTTGGGCATGAAGTGAGTTGTCCAATCATCAATCGCACTTTTTTTCCTTTCTTTTAAAAGGACCTTAAGCCTGTTGGTACAGCTCAGTCGAAAACAAACGCTGAGAGACCGGAGAACAAATCCAAGAACCGCTACAACAACGTGCATCCATGTGAGTAACCTTGAACCAATCCACCTGCTGCTTTCAACTATAACACTCCACACTCTTTAAACTACATCATCACTGCATCAACTGTCATTATCCCATTTTTAACTGGATTCCATTTTTATCAAAATGATCACACATGGTCACACATCACTGCATCCATACCTTCATTTCATTTACCCTCTTTTCTCACCTCCTAGATGACTCCTCTAGGGTGAAACTCTCTATTATCCATGGGAGTCCATATGATGACTACATCAATGCTAACTACATGCCGGTGCGTACTGACACTCTTTAAAACAGCTCTCTGCCTCAGTCATCGCTTCACTATCAATAAACTCCCTTCTGAACAACATAACTGCTCATTCTTTTGCTTCACGCCTTAATGATACTCAAACTACACCACCTCCAACCAAAGGGATTTTTGAAACACTTGAGAACCTCCTAGAAACCTGGATGGACATTTGTGTTATGTGTCCGGGTTTTTGTTTTATTTGACAGGGTTTCAACTCCAGGAAGGAGTATATCGCTGCTCAGGGTCCTTTGCCCACCACAGTCAGCGAGTTCTGGAGGATGATCTGGGAGAAGAACGTACAGACTCTGGTCATGCTGACACGCTGTAATGAACAGGGACGAGTGAGTAGCAGTGACACACACACACCTCATGTCTTCCTCAGTGTTAGCCGTCATACTGTTGTGAATGTCTCATCCTTAATGGGATCACTAACCATGAACGCATCCTTCATGTTAGAGAAATTGCGCACCATCATCAACATCTGTTTGTCTCCCTCTTTAAGTGAAGATATTAATGTAAAGCAGTAACATGCATACAAACATGTGAAAAGACAATTATATCAAACGTATGATACAATTCCACATCTCACACTGTGTATTCTTAAACATTTTGAATGGGTTGAAGCAAAAAATAGCCAAGTCAATGCATTAAAGGTGTCTTTTTAAATATAACCTAAAACTAGCAGTACGGCTGATTGACAGAAATACCAAAGTGTTGCCTTGCTGGTTTGAAATGCTCTTAATATGAAAAACAAAGTTTTCTCTTTAAAATGTATAGGTACTGTTAATACTGGTGTTTTTAAATGTAATGTAGCTTTCTGTATTCTAATTATGAATTCTGAGTACTGTGAGTCTGTTACAACGAAACAATTGTCTTTCGTTTCCAGGTGAAATGCGAGCAATACTGGGATCATGGCACCAAGCACTTTGAAAACATTACTGTGACAACAACCTCTGAAATAGAACTTGAAGACTGGACCATCAGGGACTTTGACATTAAAAATGTGAGTGGTGAGATGCTACATATGCCAACGAAAAAATATTTTTTTTTGGGGGGGGGGGGGGGGGGGGGAAATATGAACACAGTAAACGACATCACCTATCAGTGCTTATTTAACACCTTTAGTTTGGAATACGTACAGCCAAACCAACTCTATAAGTTAACTAACAACACCCTACTGAACCCTTGTTAAAAATATGAGTCTGATTCTTTGCAACCGATAAATTGCAATGTAAAAACAGTATTACTTGTCAATAATAGTGAAAATGTCTTTCTCTGAATGAAAGCCTGTGTCTGTAAATTAATTGAAATATTGAATTCATATACATTTTCAAGAATCCGTACACGTTGATTTCTTAGTCGCAACTATTTTGAGTTTCTGTGCCTGTTTGTCCTTTAGGTAAAAACAGCAGAGACCCGTTCGGTACGTCACTTCCACTTCACAGCCTGGCCAGATCACGGAGTGCCACAAACCACAGAGCTCCTCATCAGCTTCAGACACTTGGTCAGAGAGCACATGGAACAATACTCCAGACACTCTCCTACTGTTGTCCACTGCAGGTCCGACACACACACACACACGCACGCACACACACACATACACATTTTTACCTTCAATTCTATACAACAGAAACTATGATAAGATTAATCTGATATTCTTTCCCTCACCCCCTCCTTGTCTGTGCGTCTACGTTGTCTACACTCAGTGCTGGCGTTGGACGCACAGGTACCCTCATAGCCATCGACCGTTTGATCTTCCAGATTGAAAGGGAAAATATTGTGGACGTGTACGGCATCGTCCACGATCTGCGCATGCACCGGCCCCTTATGGTGCAGACAGAGGTGGGACACAGTCACATACGTTTTTTGTTACAATTGTCACACTGCACATGTTGTTTGAAATATGTGAAGAGTTCATAAAGCATGCTGCACCTCAGTGAACGTTTTATATTTGATATCCCTGCAGGACCAGTATGTGTTCTTAAACCAGTGTGCTGTGGACATCATCAGATCAAGAACTGGAACCAATGTGGATCTAATCTACCAAAACAGTGCTGCACTCTCTATTTATGAGAACATGGATCCAAAAACAGGGTTCCCCAAAGGCGGACCATACTATAATGCATAGGCCCGAGAAAACACTCAGGTCTTCTACTTCTCTCTTTATGCTTAGCAAGAAAATGAGCAGACATTTGCAAAAGGAACGCTTTTAAGTGATTGCGCTATATTTATTTTTTATAACTGTCACGCTTTTTTTTTAAGAATCTTGTAGCTTTCTGGATTCAAACCCTTATTTTGGGGGTATTTATTAGTTGAAAATGTTGAATGTTTGATAAAGAAGGGAGCTGTATATGGAGATACAACCGGGGACATAATCACTGACCAATAATATTTGGATTATTTGTGAACTTTGGTCAAACATAAGATCTTTTTCTCTCTCTCTCTCTTATAACCGCAGCTTTTTGTATTGCTCAGTTTCTAGTTCAGCTTGTTTACTACTGTATATGATTTACAGATGATGACGTTTTCTGCTCAGGTAATATGTTGGATGCTGTATAGATATTATTACAGACACTTTTGATAAAGAACATCTTTTAATTTTGAACCTTCGGATTTGCCTTGTACAAACAATTGCGGGTATGAATACTATGTGCCTTTTTAAACCCTGTATGCTTTAGTGCCAGTAGGTGGCACTCCATTGTTTTAGTCTTAAACTGAAAAAGGCAAACAGGGACTATTTTGATATTGCCTTATTACAGAAACCTTAAGTTTGTCAGAACGTCCAATCAATTATTTTTGAACCTCTTAAGCAAATTTGAAACGTGCAATGTCTTCTAATGAAGGAGTTTTGTTTGTTTGTTGTAGAGACTTTTGTATGTGAATGCACTGTAGTGAATAATGCACTGGATGCATTTGTCTTTCTCTACACTGTCCACTTTTTTAACCGTACAGATATTTTCGTATCCTTGATTACATTCTGGCCAGTGCTTTGTGAAACTGTTTTGCTAACACTTTGCTCTTCGCCCAACATTCGTATTTTACAATTTTACTGAGGTAATTTTATTCTTTTGATTAAAGAGATGGATCGCAAAAAACAAAAGCTCAGGAACTTAAAACAATGACAGCTGAACATTTTGCTGGGGAGGTATCCGTACTGTACAAGTGTGTCCTTTGAAGAAGGTCACACGGCCCGTTGTTTTTGTTTTGTTCATGTCCTTCTCTACATTGTACATTCCTCTAAGAAACAACCATGTTATGTCACTTCCTGCCGCATATCTGGTCTGTCTGTGATATTGAAATCACCAGAGAAGAGCTCAGCATTTTCCATGAGGCAGGCACGCTTTTTTTAAAAGGATATTTAATGTGTGGTTAGTCTGTAGATATTTTTGAATAATGTCCATTGAAAGCACTTAATGAAAACAGGCAAATAGTCACACAGTTGTAGGATGTTTTTTAAATGCTTTATGAGATGCTTGCTGGTACAATGCAAATAAATGTAAAAGGAGACAGGATTTAATATTTGTCTACCCTTGAATCTGTAAAACTATGGGATTAAAGATGTTGCTATGTTTTTACCCCACATTTGTGTACGGCTATGTGGTGTGTGGTTTGAATCAGTGTGTGAACCCTCTCATTTACTAGAACCCAACAAGCTTTTTACTCTCACCTAATGCAATCTTGTTTTTTGATAGTCATACTTTTTTGAAATTTGTGTTCATGTTGTAAGAAGCAAATGTGGATTTTTTTTTTTCAAATTGTATAAAATGCGCTCTCAGGAAATTCTTAGCATCTTTAGTTAATCTTACAGGTTTTAAGTTATGTGTTCTTCCATGGATTTAGCAACACCTTGAGGGTGTTGGTATATTGAGATGGTTGATAGATATAAATATTATATATTATTAACAAACAGTGGGTTTCTTACAAAGATTAAAGTTATGTTTCTCTCCATCCTTGTGTAAACGTCTGTCTTAGCTAGACTATGGTGATCATAGTCAACATAATCATGGTCATTTACAGATTTGGCTTGTAAGATATACGGAGATATATTTTAAACTCATAGGACTCATCACTGCACATTGTAAAATCTGGTAGTTGGTGTTCATTTGCTATGTGTAGGATGAAGAATTGGTACTTTTTAAAATAAAACCAATCTATGTACATAATTCCTCAGATCGCCATTTGGAAAAACCTTTTTATCTGGTAAGAATTCACAGGGCCAATGATACATCAAGCTTTGATATTTAATAATCTGTCTCCATCTCTCAACGACAAGACAAACTTAATTCAGCCTAATCCTTAACATGCTTATTTATTGTTGATTCAGAATATTAGGTTTATTTTATAAAGAGTAATTCAGTTCAATAACATTTTATAAACTAAGCTGATTGCAAAAAAATCAAATTCAAGTGCAATTTTAATAGTCGACGAACTCCAGATTTCCCTTTTCCAGTTGGAATCACGTGGCCCGTAGTTAAGTGTGAGGAATATAAAACACACTAAGTATTCTCTGTCTCTGTTTATAGTTGCATGCAGTTTTTCCTATTAATTAACAATTTCCTGTATTTTTAGGTGTTACATTTTCTAGCTGGCTGAAAGTTAAAACCATTTTATGACAGTTTTCGGCTCAAATGAATCCCTCGGTGTCAAATATGTGTCAGGTGTTCTGCAGCTAATTACCCATAATTGTAATCAGCTGGTGCCGTTACATTTTACAACCATTTTGTATTGTAGCTAACGTTAGTTGTGGAAGAGTTCAATATGTTAAACTTAACAGGACCAATACACCTTAACCTAAACATTTAGCAAATATGTTTATTTCAAAGAAATATAACAAATATATTTATTTGTTTAACTCTCGATAAAATCAATAACGCTGCTTTTACATGTAGTCCAATCTGATGCTGATGTCAGACAGCATATTGTATTATCTGTGTTGTGTATCATTTTACAAGATACAATCATTAAAAACAAATCCTTGCACAATCGGTGTGACAGCTACACAAGACGCTGCACGGCTGATACCTTCGTTGTGAAATATAGTTTCTGAATTATTTCAGGCAAATGGAAAGATCAAAAAGAAGCAAATAATAGAATATGCTGCATTCTGCAGAGGAGGACTGAGCTGGTACACCTCTGCATTATTCAGACTTTGAGGTTGTAGGTAGCTAAGTGCACCCTCAAAGGATGAATAAGTCATACATTTCTGTTTCTTAAAGTAAAAGCCTTATACACAGAGACTTTTTACAGCTCACATCAGGCCTACACTGGGGGGGTTATGGTGCAATATGGAGGTGTTTTTCAGGGCAATCCTTTTCACACAGAGGGCACTCCTGGCATGGTGGTACTATAACATTTTCTCAGCGTGTTGGCTCAGTAAGCTGAGCTGTAAACATTTTTCTCACTCATCATCCTTATTTCATGTCTCTCAGATCAATAAATTGGATCTCAAAATAGATGTGGCATTTGAATGTCTTTTTCTTGCTATGCTGTGCGTTGCAGAGAGACGTCAGAAATCCAACCTGCGAATAGAAAATCAAAATAGGACAAAAAATAACTGGGTGATCCCAATTTAATGATGTGTTCAAATGCGTATGTGACAGTAGATCCACCATGATTGAGACGATATTTCTTTTTTTGTTTGTTTGCTGTCTTTTGAACCATAAAAAACAGCCAAAAATTAGGAATAGGGAATTGTGCCCGATTAAGTAGAATAACACACAACCACACATCTATGCAGGGTTCTTGCATCGACCTTCTTATCTGCAACCGTAAGGTGTAACCCATATGTTAATGCAACAGTAATAATAATCCAATCACATAAGAAAGACAGGGGCCATTGTGCTGCCCAACCACACTTGGGTCAAAAGCTGACCACTATAAAAGGAGTTCTCCTTCTTCCTTGGCTGGCATGGCTGCTTTTTGGTTTTGATTACGTCAGCCTTTTGTTTTTACACGCAGGCTACATTACTGTCTTTGTCTTTCCATGTTTGTTGCGTTCTTTTTGGTTACTTTTAAAATAAATGCCCATTATTACTTTTAATCTGGTCTGGTCTACCATTTGTGCTGCAGCCTTTGCGTCGGGCTGTAACAGTATGCATGACTTTTACTTCTAATGGAGTACTTTCACATTGTGTAGTGTTACATTTAAGATACAAATCTTTATACTTTATGCACCACTGTGAGATACAGTTCTTTATTCAAGATGTTTCTATCCAGTTTGAGGCTTTAACATGTTGAATGATGATCTTGACAAGTTGTAAATACTCTACAACATCACAAACAATTGAGCTTAAATACTTCCTGTGTGATAATAAATGTATGATAAGTTATCATAGAAGTGCTTCATCTCCATGGTTAACGTCTACACAGAAACACGCAGCAGGTGTCGTACGCTGCTGCCGCCACAGGTGTCGCCGTGGCTCCCTTGTGTAGCAGCAGCAGCAGCAGCAGCAGCAGCCAGATGAACCGCAGCAGCAGGATCCAGTCCGCTCCACACTCTCCATGTTGAAACTTCTCCTCCAGCCGACCACAACCGTCCCCCTCGATCCAGCCATCTCACACGGTCCCGTGCTATGACGCTGGGCAGAGAAGGAGGCTCGGGCACAACTGCATGAGCGACGCTCTGGTCCACACCGTGAGTTTAACGTTACATTTAACGGCTCTCTTTACTACATGACGCCGACGCGTCGAGGGACACTGAACTCGCTATTTTTAGCGGACGGGGCTTGTGTTTCTTCAACTAACGTACGTTGGATGTGCTAACGTACGCTAGCTAGCGGAGCTCGGATAGCATTGACTGGTACATGTAGGAGGATTTTACGGTAATTTGAGTGTCGTAACGTGGCATTATTTGGAGGAATTTGGTCAGTGGCGATAGTAACATTATCTGCGTCTGTGCGGCGTGCCGTGTGGTCGGGTAGTGGCACATCTTACAAGCTAGCTGCGTAAAGTAAACCCTCATCACCACGTAAAGTAGACCCTCATCACCACGTTAGCACACCGGACCCCATGCGGCTGCATCTCGGCTGTCACTTGTTTGAATGGCAACCGTGAAACGTAGCCGATGTCTCGGGTGCTCGTGTCAAGGAGCGCTACCACACCCCCCCCACCCGTGGGTCTCCCTAATATTCATTGGTTTCACCATCCTGCCATCACCCGCTTCAAGTGTAACGGAATTGGTAAACTGGACCCATCAAAAATGGATAACGTTAACTGTTATCCCATATAACAAGAGGAATAATCATAGTATTCAATGCTTCTTAAAGGAATCGTAGTACCGGTACATCGTCGAAATTCCATGCAGGGCGCGACGTGTAGGATGCAGTGTGTAGCGACATAATGCAGCGTGCACATGACTCTAAAGCGTTGTGAGGCTGGTAGACATTTAAATGTATATATTCAGGCCGAGACATCCCGGTTAAACTCCAGTTTCCGGTGTAATGCCAAAGCTATAACCTTTGACACGTTCTTTACCAGCACATCATGATATGTCAACATCTGCAGAGACCTTTCTCAATTACTATTTAGAGCACTAGGTAATATTGATTTATTTGTGTTTTATAGATTATACAAAACTAAGCAAAAAACAGCCTTAATGATATCACTTACTAGAAATGAGGTGTTGTGATTAGAACTAGACTGATAAATTGGGCAACATTGTCTTATTGCAGACATATTGGTACCAGCGTATATGTCACTAGATAATTAACAAGACATTACAGTACAGAAATACCTGTAAATGTTTAAGGACATTTAAAAAACGTGTCCATGACATAGCTTGCCTACCAGACAGTACTGAGGAATTCATTTTTCAACTTGATCAGTACATATCTAAGTCACAACAAAAAAAGCTCATTTAAGGGATCCTTATCAAAAATGTTTGTTCATTTTATGTGTTTATGGAAAAAAAAACGATCAACTTCTTTATCATTATCAGATTTTTTTTAAACTCACAAATACTAACATTGGTGTCGGCCATACGTCCAGTATGGGTCAGACTGAACTTGTAGTATTCGATATCTTGACGAGATAATGACTAAATGTGGAGATTTAACGATGCCACTTGGCCTCATCCATCTCTGTCTATTCCCAGTGCCGATAAAGATAGAAGAGCTCATCATCTTTAATCGCGTGGTATTATGTGGAGTCGGGCTTTGCTGAAGAAGAGAATAGCACAGAAGTGCACTTTAGTTAATAGTTTTAAAGGTTATTGGAATGTGTCACTCAAAATACAAAAAAATAAAAAATAATAACAGCTGACAAGAAGGCTATCCAAGAGGAAATGATTACCGGAGTGCTGGAAGTGAAATGTCAGGTGATGTTTGGGAAAATTGCAGCTGACTGAGAAAAGACAGTTTAACAGTCATCCTCTTGTTCCCCACTTTCTCTTTTTGTCAAAGCTCTGTCAAGTCCTTGCTTTGTTGTCTCCGTGTTTCTGCGATCTGTCTGTACTTTCAACTGACTCCATTTTTCAGAGTGGGTCATACGAAGCAACGAAGGCCCGATATACAGTGTTATAGCACTCTCTGTCAGACTGGCACCGGACAAAGATTGATCTCATATTGAACGAGCGTAATATGCCGGACTGCAAGTGGTGTCAATAGCGGGGATGGAAACGCATCAGGCTTTTGAAGGTGACTGGAATAGAAGTAGGTCATGAGATCAATACCGACAGTCTGCTCCTATTTGCACACCTGGTTTTAATCAAGTCTGTGTTTAAATACTCTATGTCTAATGCCCTTCATTTCAGCCTTAATCCTCCATAACCAAACAAATCAATGTCTATTACATTTTTCCTGAGCTTTTCCAACGCGGGCTATATTTTATGATGATTGGGGGGAAGTCCGAAGTCTTGTCTGACCACGTGTGACGGTCTACCTTCCGCTAATCAGGTGGCGAAATTTAATGGTGTTGGTCCCTAAGCCTATCAACTCGAGCTGTGGCTTTGCTCTGCCATGAATGACAAATTGGGAGAGAGGAGCAGTGAATGAAGGGAAGAGGATGAAGGGCGGTGAGAAGGTGAAGAGCTGTTTGAGCTGTTGCTGTGGGTGGTTAGTGCTGTTGTTTTCTTTTTAAATCGTTGCTTTTTCTAGCAGAAAGACACGGCAACAGATGTCCCAACTTCCATGCTGTGCTCTGAGAAATACTCAATAGGAGAAGCAACCCGCTGGCTTGTTGTTTAAGACGCTATCTGTAGAGTCTCTGGTTTGTGTCCAGCTGGGGACCTTTGTCACATGTCCTCCCCCCCCCATCATCTCTACTCTAGTCTCTAATATCCACTGTAAGAAGACATACATAGAAGCCCAACCATTGGGGAATTTATTGCCAAATCTTTCTTCAAACCAGGTTGACTCTTACTTTACTGGACTTCCTGTTCATTCAACAGGTTGGAGAATCACTGCTTTATTTTTAGACCAGATGTTGTGTCGGAGCTGTAATGACGTTTATTTGTTCCTCTTCATGATTCAGACGTTTGTTTGACTGACTAAATGTATTCAAAGCTGACTGTTCTGAGTTGTTGTTGTCGTCTAATCATGTAATTCTCCGGCTTCTGCAATATTCCACCTTGTGCTCTGTGTGTCTACCCTCTTCATGCACACTGCCATGGCCACTGATAATATTTAATCTCAAATGGCAATGATAAGTGAAGCTTTTTTTCAGAATTTCAAAGTACAAAATATCAGTACAAGGAGGAAATAATGTACCAAAGCAGTTTCTAAGCAGGTAATATAGTCAAAGATAGTGTCACCTCACTCTATTAAAAAACAGAAACTTGATTGTCCGCATGTGACAAGTATAAAAAGTCATTTTCCCAGAGATACTGAGGCCTATAAACTAGTAGTTTGAATGCGACTGCTGTTAACAATGGAAGCGTTCTACTCCAGACTTTGATAAATGGCTTAATGCACTTCCAGTTCCCTTGAGATATAAATGCTTTCCCCGACGCCTACTGGGGGAAACTAGGTTAATACTGCTCCATATTGAATCTGTCTCCCTGCCTCCAGAGAGCAAAGGCACTTTTAGAATCCTCTATTGTGCCAAGATTCCCTTCTCCTTCTTTGGTCTCGCAGAGTGTTTTTGTCCAAAGTTACTAAACAGCTGTAAGTTGGCCTTTAGGTCTAAAAACGGGTCCCTTTCCCACAGAATGGAACCTCATCTGTGTAAACACGATACAACAGTGCTGCCATGCTCATGGTTATGATATAACTGCATCATTAAATTCAACAAGAGTATACTACAGCATCAACTAGTGCATACTACACAGTGGAGCCAACATTCGAGGCATTATTTGTAGATATCACACATTACATAATAGGACATATTAGCTTTTCTTATGACGCCAGCATTGTGACACCCTGCAGTGTCTGGAAAGTACCGTAGTCGTTTGTTTTAGTAGCAGATTAATCTGGGGAAGCAGCTTTCCCTGTTCTTATTACAAAAGTGTGACAAAGATAAACAGTTACTGTTAAAGACATCTGAAACCATATTTATGACTCGGACGCAAAAAGAGAAACATTTCTGTACCTCACAGTTCCTCATTCTTTGTCTCTTGCTTACCGCGCGTGCGCACACACACACTCTCACTCTCTTAGGGTTTGTGGCTAACCTCCTGACCCCTTGACATGTGTCTAGGCTGCTGAGTGTATTTATAGAGAAGGTTTAACACCGTAGATCCACGGCTCTTCTTTTAACACAGGCGGTGGCGGTTAGAGTGTTGTCTCACGGTAGCTAGCGCCTCTGCAATCGATATCCACCGCTCACTCATCTCCAGCTTAACGTATGGAGCTACTGCTCGTGCAAATGCTGCCAGCTTTACTCTGAACCCAAAAGATTCACACGCTGCATTAATTTGACTTGTGGCAATTGAAACGCTCTCAATCTTGCATGTTTGGTGTACATGGAATAGCTACATCGTTGTGTTAATAGATGTTATGAGAGTATTCAGACTGCGGGCTCTACTTTGTTCAGTTTTTTGCTAATTACTTACTTTACAAGTAGGCAAAGGCACACGTACTGTATGTCCTTGTCACAATCTACATTTGTTTAGTTCTGAGCGGCTGGCCTTGCACAGGGACCTCGTCCAGTCCTTGAGAGTGAGGGACGCTGTGGACGCCCTGTGTCAAGTGCTGATAATCTGCAGTTCCAGGGGATAAGCTGCAGTGTCGGTGTTGAGTTGACAGCTGGGATGTTTTACTTTTATTACATTGAGTGTTTTATTATGAGAGAGTTGATGCTGAGAGGCTAGATTACGTCATGGGCTTAATGTCAGCCTGTAAAAGCCCTCTTTGGCTGGTCATTATGGTGCTCTGTGCGGACAAATCTGTAGCCATCAATGTAGGGTCACAACTTTTGCCTCAGAAAATGAAGACCCAAGTGTCGGCATCGTATTCCTGAGGCTGTGTAGCGTGTTTTCCTAATGGAGTAGTCAGGTGAGAGGAGAAAGTAACAAACGTGTTAAGCGATACTTGTGACTCATAGTCGTTGCTGCCTTTGCCAAGAAAGCAAGAAACACCTCAAGCTTTAAAGAAAGACCTCGGGTTTCAGAGCATGGAGGGTTTCCATGACATGGGACCATCCTCTGACACTCACCCCCTGTATGTGAAGGGGTTTTAACTTTGACTTTTACCCACAATTCTATTCCAACAGTGACCAAGTGTCACACAGGAAACAAATCAAAAATGCTCAGGGACACTTCTTAAACAGTTGCTGCAGCATTTATTTCAACGTGCGCCCGTCCTCCAGTGTTTGTGACTCCTTGCTTTGTGCATTTCAAACTCTCTTTTGTGCTCCGATAAACACGTCCTAGATAAACAGAAGATTATGTTTTTGTTTATGCAGCAATGCTTACAGTCTGTTGCTGTTTTTGGCATTTAACTTTCTTTTCGAGGTTGATCAGTGTCACCTTGAAATCAAGCTTATGGCTTTGGTTCAATAGTGGCTCCACCAGCCTTTTTGTAAACTGGGGACGTTATAAATGATGGTGTCTCTCTTTTATTTATTTATTTTTTTACTTCCTACTTTGAACCAGACATTGAAATATAAGGAATGTCCTCAAATGTGCAGAGGAATACCCATATGCTACGTATTTATTTTTCTGTGTACATGCACTGGTGCATGAAATATGAAGAAATTCTGAATGTTAGACCGTTAATATAAATTGAGCTTGAACTTTCCCTTTAATAATCCTCAAAGCATCGAGTGAAATACCTTCTGTCTTGTCCGCCTGTGCACTGTTAGCGTCCTCTTTAGCGCCACAACATTATCAGTTACAAATGAGTTTTTCACTGCGTGAGAACATGGACGTGTGGCGGGAGAGAGTGTGTAAAGTGTCGATTGCGTGAATCTCACGGTCAATGCGTGAAGGTTGGCAGCCTTGAACTTTTGTGCACCGGCGCATGTAGAGCCGAGAATTCCGTGCGCAGCTCAAAATTGACCGTGCATGTGTACATGGTATTTCAAGCCCTGATATCTGACATGTAATCCAGTGCTCACCATATGTAAAATGTCAAGCAGTGGGAAGCACCACAACGTGAAGCGGATTATTGGTGGATCTGATTTGGTCCACGGCTTTTCTCGTGTCCTAGGTTGAACTCGGGTCAGACACTACCAATGGAGGGAACTGAAAATAGACTGTATTTGGTACTTCTGTGAGGTTCAGTAGAACCACATCATACCTATGACTCCTAACTCTGTTGTCTCCTTGCAGACTATAACTCTCACCAGGCTGCTTCTCAGTTCTGCTTCAGGTCAGAATCATTCAATGAACAACCCGGCGATCACAGCCTGATTCAAACACCTGGCCGCCCACGGCCCCAGTTTACTTGTGAAGATGAACTGCCATTCAAGGTTAATATTTTGGTAATTATTATACAGAATGTCAAGTACAACACTAATGTCACGTATTGCTTATGTTTACAACAAGATCGATTTTAATAGTTGTGCTTTAAGGCTCAGACAATACTTTAAAAGTCTTCTATGAAAGTAGCGTAGAGCAGTGCGTTATCACTAATAAACATGTAAATATGTGTGATACGATACAGACACGTTTTACATTTATTGAGTGTATCTTAAGCTGCAGGGAGAACTCATCCAGTTAAATGTAAAAGGCACTCCTCTACTGTGTTTGTTTACTTTGCATTACAACCTTTTTCTTAATACAGATTTACAGATTTTTTTTTTTTTATTAATTGTTAAAATAATACATTTCACACCAGTAACTTGGTAAAAAATAAACACAATTCAAGTGTAAAACGTTTTAATCCAGCAACAAATTGGTCAAAATTCAAACAGGGATTACAATTCCAGCAGATGATGTATATACTGTAGTATACAAACGGAATTGAATTGAATAGACACTATTGCCAACAATACCCGATCTAGACATTTTTACTTCATATTTGGCTTTTAATCTACCTTCACTGCAGAACCATGTGTGACCTGCTTCAGATTACATTAAGATGAATAACCCGTGGATAGAGAAGGAAGTGAAGTTTGTTTTTATCAGATGTTGCACCGTTTTAATCGGATATTGTTTTAAATGAGATTGCCAAAGGAGGTGAACATTTTGCACAACACTAATCAAACACTGTAGAAGGACAGATGTGAAAGTGCAAGGACTGTGTATCACATTCATGTTTGGGGTTATTTTGAATGGATCAATAAAACCACGTGTCACAATGCCAGCCAGTTGTTATCAGTTTAGCCTCAGTGTAAAGCCACTACTATACTCCCAGTTGGAGCATATACTTCTTGCATCATGGTAATATCCTCACCCTTCCCTATTGTTTCCCTTAATCGAGCCAGAGACGCAGCTATAAATCAGTGGGCAGGATCTGGCCTGGTCCCCTCCTACGAGTCAGTCTTGGCTCTCTGCTGGGAAAGTTGGCCAGCTCTCTGTGTTCAGATATAAATGTTACTTGGTTGCATGCTTGCAAAGCGGCATGAACAGCGCTGGTTATACAATATGCATGTGGCAGAGTTAAACCCATCTATAACCATATAGTCTTCACTTAGAGGGCTAGTGTGGCTAATTGTTCCCCAGCTGTGTTTCATTTGGCCCCGTTACATGAAGCTACGAGTACAATTTGAGTGTAAAGACTAGGAGCCTCTGCAGGAGGTGATCGTGTTGTATATCAGCTATCACAGGGCAGAGCGCTTTCTGCATGCCCGGCTCTGGGCGTCACAAAAATCTATTTATAGAGTAATGCATCGAGGGAAATCCATGTTTTTGTTGTTGTTGTTGTTTTTTTGGTGAGCAATTGGTATGTTGTTTGACAGCATTGTGACGGTAGAAAGGAATACAGGTCATGTGGGGAATGCAACCTCACCTCAAATATTCTTGCACGTCTACATGGCATGCAGTTTGTTTTGTTGCGCTGTGAATTGGTCCCAAGAAGAGACTTCTGCTCTGAATGAGAAAATGTAGGACAGCGTGTGTGTGTGTGTGTGTGTGTGTGTTAGAAAGTGGTGTTGTTTGAGTCCTTCCATCCAAACCATGCCACATTCTGGGTCACAGTGTCTTCATTCACTTTTTACTCTTCGTACACGTTATCGTTCTTGTGCACGTCGTACAAATCTTTTGTGTCGGACAGAATAAATACGTAAATAGAAATAAGTGCTCTTTTTGTTATTTTGAGGATGCAATGGCCCTTTTAGCCGATCTTGGGTCATCACTTCCTCTTCTCCGTGTCTTTCTGTGTTTGGCTTACGTCCCCCCTCCCTTTGTTTTTGCCCCTCAAGCACTGTCAGCTCAGGGATTCACTCTCAGTTCACTTCTTATTTAGGTTAGACGTACTCAAGTGCTTCCTCCTTTGCTCAGTGACAGGATTTAAAGGCACAGATTCCCATCTCTGCTGCCCAACCCATTTTACTTTATGGTTTCTCATTGGATCATTAACTGGGGCGTCATCAGCAGAGGTCCATGCCAAGGTTTTGGCGGCTAAGCTTGAGCACCCGAATATGCATACAATCCGATCGGCACTCCCTGGCTTAAAAGCTAACGTATGGAAGCATTTTGCTTCTTCTTGACTCTACAACCAAACCAAAGCTAAAGTCAAGGAATCACTGAGGAAAGCAGGTAGGATGGTAGAAACACGCCACGGGTGGACATCCATCACACAGAATCTTATGTGATCGTACCCGCACTCTTTATCACTGCATGTACAGTTTCACCACGTTCCAGAGAAAACCTTATTTTTGTATCGGAGCTGGTACAAAATGTTTGCTGCACATAACAGGAGGATTTGGTCTAAGAGAAGTCTATATTATTCATTATGAATCAATACAAATATGCAGTGTTTTACAAATAGCAGATACTCACAGTGAGCAAAAATAGATTATGTATAGAAAATGTTGATGCAGCAAGATGAAACGCTAATCGTTTTATAATCGCATCGTAGTCCTCTGAATCCCCCCCCCCCCCTTATTGTCCACCTGGGCTCAAGATCAAAGGTCAAGATCACAGTGACCTCAAGTCTGTCCCATTATCGTGATATCTCTGGAGAACATTTCTGCATATTTAGGTCACTGTGACCTCCCAAAACACAAACACATATTTGGCCATAATTCCATAATTCTCATGCTAAATGTGGCAATTTCACACGAACGTCGAGCAGGATAAAATGATGAAGGGCCACGGCCATGGATGTACACTGCAACAGGACTGGTTGTTTACATTTCATAGACAGACTTCTAATGTGCAAATGTTGATTCATGTCGGTACTTTAGAGGTACATATTGAATAAGCCCCACGATGTGACTACATAATGGCATGCGTGTGTTTCCCTGCAGCACAACCGGTGCGATACTGAATCTCTTGGGGTTAAGTGATTACAATAGTGTGTGTGTGTGTGTGTGTGTGTGTGTGTGTGTGTGTTGGCTTTGGTTTTTGGATTTGTGGCTTATCACACATCCCAGCTGTTAGACAATGCATTGTTTTTTTTAATGCACGGGCAGAATTAAGAGGCATTTTGAGGGAAAACAAAAGTAAGACAAGAATAAAACAGCATTTTAGCTGTAAACAATGAACAATATACTGTAAGTCAAGTGCAACCAATTAGAATGAGAGTCCACATTTTGATTAAAATGAGAAGTGGATTCAAAATGTACTGTGAGACTCCTTCAGTCTGACTGGAGTCACATCCTACTAGGGTGTGTGTTTCAATAGTGTAAGACTAGTAGTCCTCCGTAAGTGTCTCTGTGTTTGTTTGAGCTGTAACTGCCGCAGTGTTTCTGTTGACTGAGTAAACACACACACTGAACAGAATCCTGTTTCTTTCCATGAAAAGGTGCTATCACCTTGCTCTTACTTTGGATGACCTATGATTTTTGGATTGGATGAAAGATAGTCCGCTAGAGTAGTTCACATCTACGTTAGCTGGAGACTGACTAGCTCTGTGACCGACTGAGAGTGGTGTATGTGTGTTCAGGTGGAAAACGCACTGTGCATTTGGCCCGGAAAGATGTTAGCAGCTCCCTTGGGAGTGAGGCTCCACCCTCCTCCTTAACACAGTGGTGCGATCAGGAGGAGCATGGAAAGGACAGACACCAGGAGCGAGGCGTTTTTTTCTGTCTGTTTGTACTGTGTGAGTTAAAGTGAAACCTTACTCTTACTTTTTGTATCTCTGAAGGTGAGACGGGCTGCTCCAACAAAGGCTTCTGGATGCGGTGTGTCCCGCGGCTCAGGTGAAAGGTAAGTTGAGCGCTCACCTGCAAGGCCACTCTTTAATGACTTAATAATGCGTACACTTAGTGGAATTGGCTGGCCGATCTCTTCTAGCCTCAGTTAATCACGTGGTTTGCCATTCACATGTTACAGTCCAAGGTTAAAGTTTTCTGAACATTCTACTTTCAAAAGTACTTCTACTATTTCTACTCTGTGTTTCCACGAGGGATAACTCACTTTTTAAGCAGACGAGAGAATTAGGGAAGTGAGAAGTAGATGTGCTTTCTGTTTATGATGGTTTTTATTACATTTTACATGTACATGCTTTCTGCAGCTATTTGATCATAATGTCAGTTAGTGCTCAGAATTTGTGCTGTTTTGTGTGACTTTTTTTGTGTGTCAGCAATGAAAGAGGAGAAACAGTTTGACAGAACTGAGATCAGCAGCTTACAGGGTGTGTCCGATTCATTGGGTTTAGAAGGGAGTAAATGTTTAGGGTTGCACAAGGACAGTTGGCTCCAGAATGATACTTCAGATACGCAGAGCGCTTTAACAGGCAGTGTGCCTGGAGCACATGTTGATCTTTCATACAGTGGCAGAGGAAGTGTAATGACTAGTTGCTATTTTTCATTTCAGCCTCCAATCCTGAGCACACTGTGTATTTTGGTCTCTCCTGGAGGGATACGTGTACGAGAGTCTTTCGTGTTGTGTAGTTGTACACCCACATCTGTCCATTGGGCGAGAAGACTGTAACCAGGCGTTCGTACTACACGTACTCGGACGAATTTACCCAGCTTACCGTTAAAGAAGGTTCCTTTTGGTCTGGTGGAATCGCACCGATAGAAATGGTCTATGCTTTTGGTGTCCTGAAGCTGTGTTTGCTTTGCTATTCCGTCCAGCCCTAGACGGTAGAAAGCTGTACAGTCGTGAAAAAACCCCATTCGCCCGCTCATATCAGTCAGGAAGCGTTTGGATTCAGCCTTACCCGAGCTGTTTATTTTGGCATGTGTCGGCAGCATGGAGACCTGTGCGATTTAACTGAAAATGACGCTTTAACCAGGCAAAATGACTCAACCTGTACCCAGCAGCCCACACCCAGGCTACTGTTGCCTCACTTTATTTTCTGCCTTAAAAGCCACACATTCAGACTATCTGTTGTACTATGATGTTCAGATAATGGTTATAAATACTTTATAGTTAATGTTTCTGTCTACAGACTGCATAATTCCCTTATCTGTTCTGCGTTCCATTAATGAAGCTTAGGATTGTGCACATGATGTAGTGTCCATTTACTGGGCGCAGAATTTAAAAAATAATCTGGGTCAACACAGATGGAGGGTGTCTTAAATTTTCTCTAAATTTCCAAACTATCGTATCAGCAGTGAATCACTCTGTTGTTGTTTTTTCCAGTTACCCAACACCAGCAGTACTGTGGTCACAATTTGGTTTAAACGGGTGGAAAGTGCAGAAAGCAGAACTTTGTCATATTCAGTGTCTCCACAAACTCAACCGTAAACTTGTTTTCATCCTCTGTGGTTTATTGAATGAAAGACGTACCACTATATGCACACTGAAATACCAAAATGTCACCTTTATGTCCGTCTCTTTGTCTCACTGTCTTACGTGTTGAAATAATAATGACCAAGCAGCCTTGATGGCACTTACTGAATGTTAATTTCATTTCAAAGATTGGTTTACCTGGTCTTTGACTTGCTGTGGAGAGGAATAACAACATGAATACAAATATATAGAAGTTCTTGTCAATAGCTTAACTGCTCTCCTTTTTATATTTAGTCTCTCCTATGGCTCTAATACTTATCATTTGATCAACAGGTGACTTGATGTAGCATAGTTTAAAATGACGATTGAAGGTGCAGTGACAGGAATAGGACGGGACAATGAGCTTTATTGTATGGGTCATATTCTGAATTTGCATAGGCCTACGTATTGTTACTTAATGTTAGCCTGGAGCAGGTTCATGATGCACAAGTCATGCATTCAGGGTGTTGCCTTTTGATAATTAAACTAAAGGACAAGTCAGTCCAAACTGGTTGTCAGGCAGAACAGAATAAATAGAGTGCTATTAATGGTAAATAACAACTTCATTGTGTATTGTAGAACTCAGTTCACAGAAGGATTAGAGTACCCAGCAGTCTCTTTTGATCAGCCAAGCAAAGTGTAATTTAATGAGATCAACACAAAGGGAGCCAGAGCAAGATTTATGTTTATTTATTGTCTTCCTGTTGGTTTGAGAGTGGCTTTATTCATCTTTGTGATGGATCTGAGGCTCTTCCTGTGTATTAATTACACACGGAAACCAATCTGGACTTCCTGTTCTTTCTGAAACAGCATCATGACGGCAAAAAGTGTTTGCGTGTCTTCATGTGTCAGCCCTGTGATTTTAAGGCTTATCTTTCAAAGAATAAGCGAGTATAGCTATAATCCTGAAATGTAAAGCAAAGTGGCATCGTTGGGAGAACTATTACCATTTGTCAGGATCCATCCCACTTTCTCTCTACTCCAATGAGCTGTGAACATGATAACCACTCAGGTTAGGATAAGCCCATGTCTCTGTCAGTGAAAAGCCTGGTAATTGCTCCCAGCTTCTATACAAGTGTCTGTCAGTGTGGGATTGATGCAGAGACAGAAAGAGGACAGGTGGTAAACAAGAAAGTGTGAGAATGGACACAGCATCGGACAGACACAGTCAGAGCCTCCATGGCATCACTTGTGCAATTTCATAACGATATTAAAAATAAACCATATTGTAGTCCTAGATCTAGCTTTCTATCCTCAGGAATGAGAGGGTGAGGGTGTGTTTTAGAGGCATGGATGTAAAAAGACCTGTTTTTTTTTATTTAGAAAGACAAAACTATGCAGATAACTTGATAGACCTGTTTCTCTAACCCATTTGAACCGTTAACTGCTTTAGCTCAGTCACATACCTGAGCGAGACATGCTATACAATGTTATTTTCAGGATATGTTGGGCTATTCAGGAACACCAACATTTGGCATGCAGGTGGTACCATACAGGCTCTATGAAAAGGAACAGTTTTAAAAGCTTTCATACATGAATTATAATCTACTTCAAGGGGCTAACAGACTCCCAAAGTCGGTCAAGCATTGAAAAAAAAAAAAAGCAAGTTGAATTTCTTTGATAATTTCTTTTACATAAAATTGACAATTAAAATCTATATGTCCAACACTTTTAAAATGTAAATGGTTTATTTGGGGCAAAATTGTAAAAGACGTGTAGAATACAATATTTTTGATGAAATATTACAATTTCAAGCTTAGTTTCGGTTGAGTTCTCTGACGGAAGCGTTTGTCACACATGATGTGACTATGAACGTTTTACAGCGTCTGTCTATGATAAACGGTGTCGTTCTGCTGATTGTTTAAAGAAAACATACTTTTCTATCCCGCTGGCGGGTTCTGGGGTTAATTTAGCTCATGGGCTGGCTTGTGACACGACTATCAAGTGACTGCTTGGACAAAGGGCAGAACTTGCACTCGTAGCAGATTGACCCAAGTCTTGCTGTGGCAGTATTCATTCATTTATCTTAGGTGTGAGAGCACGCAGCAGTCTAATACAAAGAATCAGCCAAGTCTTTATTTTCTTTGGTAAGAGTTTCTGTTATCCCAGATGAGAGAGGCTTGAAGTTTGGTGAGAAGTGGTATGAAGATATCTTGTTCCCTCTGTCACCACTTCTCACTGGGAACAATAGTTAGAGGAGGCCAGAGGCGGGTAGCAGCTCAAGGATGTCACCTAGTGAAGATCTCTGTTTTCTGAAGATGGTTGCAGGTAATGCAGTTACAAGTCTAGCTTGATTGAAAATGTCTGCTCGTTCGCTGCATGCATTAACATAGGTGTACTGCTAGAGGCCTCTGAAAAGCATTGTGCTCTTTTGTCGGAAGATGATAAACAAACATGGAGATCAAGATGATGTTTAATAGAGATGCACCAATTCACTTTTATTTCAGTTCCTATCCGTTACCTGCATTTTGGTATCTGCTGATATTAATATGACTCCAGTATCTGAGCTGGATTGCAATGCATTGCAATTTAGATTACATTTAAATGTATACAAAGCAATTTATTTGAACTGTAGGTTTAGTAGACTTCACCTACAAACTGGGGACCCAACCTGCGGTGCACACGGGACCGCCATGACCGGAGGAGTGCTTCAACCCTTCGGTTTGTATGTTTGTATGAGAAAATGTTTCATGATGAGACCATGAGTGCTGTTTTTACACCTTTGCACACTCAGTCTCTCCACTCCTAAACCCTGAGCTTCCCATGTATGACTGTGCGACATCAGCAACGGCAATGAGGGCTGTGGCTTGGGAAGTTCGGGAAGGACTCAGCCAGACATTTCTACGGCGTAGCGCTGCAACATGTGTCATTCGGTTTAATTAAAGGCATTCTTTTCTAAGGAGTCGGTTTGTTGTGTTTTATGCATGTTTGCAATCCCAAGAGTAAAAAAAAACGAACAAAACCAAATATTCGATTACCAAAATTGAAAACCGAATGCCTACCCAGCCAACGAATAACTGAATAGCGGGTGCCGTCCCAGCCGCTTGCTGCCTGCTAGGTCTCAGCTGTTTGTGATAGCTCAGACCCTGACTTGTTTCAAAACTTACCAGGAACAATATCCTTATGCTTATTTTTCCTACATCCTCTGCTTTTTTCTCTAGTTTGCTCATTATAAAGTTCTATAGCTGCAGTATAGGCTGACCTATTTTTTCTCAAGTGTAATACTTCTGATTTTGGCTCCACAGTTTACCTGGCAAAGCAGTTTTATTTTTATAGCCAAAGTAATTTGTATTCAGTTTTTAAAATATGCAGTCAGTATTCTAGCCAACAGCCAGCTGAGTTGACGGAAAGGTAGAAGCAGCAAGTTTGTGCAATCAAGAGATGTTATTGCAGAACTCATGACAAGCTTTGAGTAAAATGCCCCAATCAATTTTATTTAAGAAAATATGAGCCATAATTTATTCAGCTTTGGCAGCTGGTGATATTAA